TGTAAAATAGCTATTTACAAATGTCCCAGATATAAATAAAACCTACTCTGTATTTATTAACTCTAAAAAAAAAATAAGGATTTTATTTTTATAAATAGTCGTTATTGAGTTGAAAAGCGCTTGTGAAATTTTTGTTTTAAGAGGCACGTGTTTCTGTTGTATTGCAGTTATCCCTCATCTTTAAGCTGTTAACTTCATGTCCGAAATACCGTGGGACAGCGTGCATAGTGATTACATATTTCACCCTTAAGTTTTTTGACTGATATGAAAGAAAGGCGTCCCAGTCCCTGTGAACTTCAAAACTGTTACACTTACCTTCGCTTTAGGAAATCTGCACATGCGTCCTTGACTTGATTAAGCTGCAAGAATGAAGCACCAACCATCACACTTTGTACATTGTCATTATCCAGTAGGACTCGTCCACTATATGCAAAATTGATTAGGGCTTCCAGAGCACTGGAATAAAATACAGACACATTAATGGTTATTTTAGTCAGACTTTCTGATCAATTGTTTCTCATATTTAATGACACTGTTTCAACTGCACAAATCTGTAGCATCAAATAAGCCGAGTGATGATCATGAATAGTGGGTATATGAATACTTTGAAGAACAAGAGTGTGGTTTGTATTAAGGTATTTATTCCAGTTCTCACCTGGTCAAAGTAGCATAATCCATATGAAATTAAACTCTGGCGTCTGACAAAACACAGTTGGGAAGTTCCTCCCGAACAAATAAGTATGAATGAAGAACAGATTCTTTGATTTGTTTCATCCTATTACAGCTTCATTTTTACTCCTGCTATATGATGTTATAACAGATAAAAAGAATCCTATACAACTCGTTTTGTAATACTGCAAGTAACGGTAGTATTTATTTGGTAAATATTTATGTAAGTTACATCCTCGTGCACAGATGCAGAGACGCATCTGAACTTGGAATAGGGAAGGTAGAACAGATATCAGAGTTCACTTTGAATTACATTTGTCCTGAGTCCAGTACCTATAACTAAAGCATGAATTCTGTGACTAGGCAGTGACAGATGATGTCATATGGATGTAGGCTAAGGAAGTACCTTGAGGACGAGGACAAAGATGTTTCTCTAAAAGTTGCCGTTTTCTCCGTTAAATGAAATGACATGGCTGGTAGCTCGAGAAAAATTCATTAAAGGAAGTCACTGTTGCTTGTTGGTGCAGAGAGAGCAGGAAGATCTTGAAACAGATATACGTGCAGACCAACGTCATACTTTGGGTATGCAACATGAATTAGCAGTTAGTAGCCACCTGTGATGGTATCTTTGTACATTATTACTGTTTTGGTCTTATTGTTACATGGCAAAGCTATGTGCAGGATATGTTTATATTCAAGTCAACCAATGACAAAAGAGCAGCATCAGGCAAACAATGTGTTCATACATTTAGCTTCATGGGTGACAGAAACTGATATATTAAGTTGCTGAATAGCATTACAGACACTGCTATTCTGAATTACCACAACCTCAAACCTGTTTTATCACTGGATTGTGATCTTGTGTGTTGAGATGCAGTGCGGTCTTGCAGGTGGTTACCAACATTTCAGCGGAATGTATCACTTCCATCTTCAAAGTGGAATAATAAATATACTGAAGATGTAGGAAATACATACCTACATACTGCATCAGAATCCAGAAGATCACAATTTACATTTTCACAATCATAGAAAGCTAAAATCTGTTTATCTCTTCTGCACTTTAGATAGATGCTGTCAGATGAGCAGGTCATATTTTGCAGAATGGTCATAAATTACAAGTCTGGAAACACACAGACAGTCTTCATGTTAAGGTAGTCCTGGCATCTGTCTAGAAGGGGTAAAGAAATGACAAGAAGTAGCTGAGATGAAGACTGGCAGTCTTCCATATACGAACTTGTCTGATGTACACCATGACTTTTAGTGAGTAATGTGGACTGATGCTTACGCTGCCTCGATGCCCTGTATCTTGATATCCCGCTGCTTGCTCTCCACCATGTCATGTGTGAACATTGCTTGGAAATAAGGAATTGTTGCAGCTAGGACAATCCGGTGTGCACTGAAAGACTGATCATCGACCTATAAAATAAATTATATAAAAATTATAACGTACATCTGTCCACTTACATGATTTGAAGAATTTGATTGTAATAGATGGTAAAATATTGACAGTGGATACAATTTCTGCTTTGTCTCTAGCTCATTCCCAATGCAACGAAAGCTGTCATGAAATTTAATGTTTCTCCAGGTTATAAAACTGAACAGTATCTTAAAAGGGAGTGTGACCATTTCCTCTTGTACTACTTAAGGCCTTCAGATTATAAAGCATAATTCTATAAACTACAAAACAAAATATTCTAAAGATAAAAATTTGAAGTATCTGAAACAAAAAGCAAAGAAAATTGTTTGGAAGGAAGTGGTGAACTTAGTAGAATTGAATAATATACATTCTTTACCTGTTACTCACAAGGTATCTTAATAAACACTGCTTTGATCAGTAAACAAATTCATCAGCACTCAATCAATTATAAAGGTAACTGTATCAAAGAGGACAATGTAAACTGAACTGGCAGAGGAGAAATAGCTTCATGCCTTATTTCAAGGTAATGTTCTGAAACTGATATATATAAAACACACACACACACACACAAGACATGGAATTGTCTAGTCCTCTGGCTCAGATTTAAATCAGGTAAATCCTGAATACTAGTAAGGCACATTACAGCTGAACAACTTTCATTAGTCACAATGCACAAGAAATGGAGAACTCACAAGGCAAAGAAAAATTAATAATAAAATACATTTAAGAACGGAAGCAAGGAGACTTCTGAATAATCAATATATCAGTAGATGGGGGTCTGGTATCACGAGGTATTATGGTGCAAATCACACAGGATTTTATGTAGAAACCACCATAAGATAAATATGCGTCAAAATTTAAATACTTTCTTAAAAACGTTATAATGATAAATTGAATAACCAGACAATCTATAAACTTGCCAACAGCTACTCTGGATATTTTAATGCTGCCTCATACAACCACATACAGTATCACCAATACTTTTATCTCTCCCTGTACACAAATTGCATTATGTACTGATACGCAATCTCATACAAATTAATTCAAGAAATTTGAAGGGTAAACGTTTTATGAAATAACAAAACGCACTTTTAGTGTAACATCGCAAAGCTTTCCTTGTCTTCGAATTTCTTCCATGATAAGAAAACCTAATGAAAACAGATCAGACTGTTGAAACATTATACTCTCCTCGTTTTCTCCTTCCATTATTTATACATATATAATTTAAAAAGAGACGTTTTCGTGCCTTCTGAAACAACAATAAGATTAAAAGAACATTAGAACAATTGACAATCGTAAATCACGACCATCTTTGTTAATTATGTACTGTCAGCCAGGGACACCACACATATTACGAGCGACATGACTTTAGCAATCACTTAATTGTTGTACAAGAATATTTATTTTTAGCAATGAAAGGGTTGAGGGAGAAAATCAACAGGAGCAAGTAATTAACACAGGTATTACCAGCATAGGTAATTAAAAAGGGTTTTCCCCAACGGCTTGAAGGCATGTTTGGCATCACAATAAGTTTTAACACTTCATGTGTAATTGTTTAGGGTGTAATGCAAGAAGGAAGAAAAAAAACAGAAAAACGAGAGCCGTTTGGAATATTGCGCCGTGTAGTATCAAAAATGTTGATCGACGTTGCAGAGGTTCTTACTGCCCCCCATCATCAGGGCAATAGTTAATAGAATATTATATTTATTTTGCTACGGTGAGGACGAGTAAACATTTTGTTTTGTAGGAATTCCACATTTAATTTTTCTTTTCTATAGTGTATTTTATAGCGTGTTTTTTGTTTGCAGTATGTGATACATCTTTCGCATTGCTAGTGGCACAGTTCCTAATGTGGTTATGTATGGCTGTGAAACGTTCTCTCGTACTTTGAGTCAAGAACATAAATTACAAGTATAATTTGTAAGTACTACCCTGTTGTGATTCTTATTAAACAGTTGGCCCATTATTCCATCAAAAACAACAATTACAGACCATCAGCATCAAAAATTATTACTAAAATTGATACAAATACAAAACACATATGTGAATTTCTATGACATGTTTTGGGTTACTTTGCCCATCTTCAGGCAGTATTAACATCACTGACAAGGCTATGGTGGTTTTACAGAACTTCATGGATTCACTGAAAGTTGTACCTGGTTCATGTAATCAGACATGTCATGATGAAAATCAGGTCATCAATATAAAAGCCGAGGAGGTCACAGATTTTCAAGAAGAGGAAGATTCTTTCATAACAACGTTTCCAGAAATAAAGGTTGAACATGAGGTGAGTTTTATGGGTGTTTGTATGTTGGTGGGCACGTTTGTCACATGCCTAGAATTGCATATTATAGGGCATGTAGCATGTCTGGAAAACATGAGGAATGTGTACAAGATTAGAGGTGGAAAACTGAAGGTAGGAGAGCATTTGGGTGTCCTGAACATAGATGGGATGATAAAATTGAAATTGCATGTGAAAGTTTTTTTCTTTCTTTCTTATCTAAATGGCTCACGATTAGGTCCTAGCTTAAACTCTGAACATGGTAGCGAACCTTTAGATTTCATAAAATACACTGAATTTCTTGATCATTTTGATCTCCTGTTATTATTAAGAGGTGCTTTCACCTGCAGAGAGATAATTCTATTATGCATAGCAGTGGATAACTGAAAAGGTTTTCCCATTAATTTTTCCTGAACCGAGCCAGCTATTACCTTTTGCTGAAATTAATATATTTAACATCTTTAAAATGGCTGTTTAGAAGGTGTATCCCATTTTGTTAATGTCAGTGCAGTGATGATTGATAAGATTATGGTGGTTTCGCAGAACTGCACGGATTTACCAAAAGATGTATCAGGCTTAGACCGTGAGACATGTCAAGGAAATGATGCCATCGATATAAAAGTTGAAGTTACAGATATAGAAGAGGAGGCGGATCCTTTGCTAATTACATTTCCCGTAATAGATACTCAACATGGGGTGAGTTGTATGTCTGTATCTACATTGCTAGGCATATTTCTTTGATTTTTAGAGATACTTGTTGCATTTTTTGTTTCCATGTATTTGTCCATCTACAATAAATAACTCCGCTGTAGGAAATGTATTTGAAAGATTGTTATTGAAATGTTGCTAGAAATGTATTGTATCAGATACTGGGTTCCAATACTAAGGTTCGAAAATGCCTTCATATTTTTCTTCTGAGATGTTTTCGATTTGTACTGATCAGTGAATGAAGTACTTCCATTTTCTATCTTCATGCAGTTTGTCCCTTCAATTCATACCAACTCTTCCCTATGTCTTTGATACTATCTAGTACTTGGCTGAACCATCTTGTTGGTCCAGCCAATTACACAACAGCATAAACTAAATTTTAGGTCTTGTAATAGTATATAGATCACATTTTTTGTACTTTAATAATTATTGCTATGAAATTCATTGTATTAATGTTTGTCACATTACTGTTCTTTTCTTCCCAGAACACTGTGAATGAGCATGAAATATTGCATGGTCAGCCATGCCCTTATACCTGTGATGTGTGTAATAAACCGTTCAGTACTAAGAGCAATTTGAAACAACATCAGCGCATACACAGTGGTGATCGGCCATACTCCTGTCATATGTGCAATAAATCATTCAGTACTAGGAGCAAGTTGAAGATACACCAGCGCATACACAGCGGAGAGAGACCATATACTTGTGATATTTGTAATAAATCATTCAGTGAGAAGGGTGTTCTAAAGACCCATCAACGCATACATAGTGGAGAGCGGCCATATTCGTGTGGTATGTGTAATAAATCTTTCAGTACCAAGTGTCGACTGATGATTCACGAGCGCATTCATAGCGGCGAGCGACCATATTCTTGTGATGTGTGTAAGAAATCGTTTAATGAGAAGGGTGGTCTAAAAGCACATGAACGCATACATAGTGGAGAACGACCATACTCTTGTGATGTATGTAATAAATCGTTCTGTCGGAGGATTACTCTGTCAATGCATAAACGCATACATAGTGGTGAGCGGCCATATTCGTGTGACATTTGTAGAAAATCTTTCAGTCAGAGGATAAGTTTGTCAATACATCAACGCGTACATAGCGGGGAGCGGCCGTATGCTTGTGATATTTGCAGTAAAACTTTTAGTTGGCTAAATAGCCTGATTGTGCATCAACGTGTACATAGTGGAGAGAAGCCATATTCATGTGACGTTTGTAATAAATCATTCAGTCGAAGGATTACTTTGACAATGCATGAACGCGTACATAGTGGGGATCGGCCGTATTCCTGTGACATATGTAATAAATCTTTTAGTCAGAGGATAAGTCTGTCAGTACATCAACGTGTACATAGTGGGGAACGGCCGTATGCTTGTGATATTTGCAGTAAAACGTTTAGTTGGCAAAGTAGTCTCAATGTGCATCAACGCATACACAGTGGAGAGCGGCCAAATTCCTGTGATGTGTCTAATTAATCATTCGGGAATAGAAACTTTCTTAAGGTGATTTATTGCATGTGTAGTGTTGAGTGGTGTATTGCTGTGGTGTGTAATAATTTGTTAAGGACTCAGTGCCACCTGGAGACACATCAAGAACTTAAACACAATGCAGAGTGTCCATACTGCTGTGATGTTTGCGTTAAGTTGTTTAGTGAGAAGAGTAAAGTGAGAGAGATCAGCAAGTATATGGTGTGGAGTTTTCTGTTAAGTTCATTGTAAATGATTCAGTAATTTGAGTTGTCATGAGTGTGTATATTTCTCTGATATGTTTGTAATAAATAATTGAATAAGTGGGGTAATCTGTATAGTAATTAGGGCACATGTAGCGCCTAGTGTTAATACTGCTTCATCCACTGTATGCAGATATTGTTACATTGATCTTTATGAATAGCAGCTCTGGATTCACCATACAATGATCAGCGTAACTGTAATAACTACTGGCCTGGCTGGCAAGTGAGGTGGCTGCTACTTTGCAACCCTCTCTTGGTAGGCAACCTTAACACTTGGAAAACTTTCCTGTTCCTTCATTAGTTGATTTTAGCAAGATTTTGTAAGTGACATAACAAATATGAAATTTTATCTTTATGTGTCCTTTAATTGCGATGATACAACATTTTGAAATGAAGTTTTATATTTTTCTGTTTCTTTAAAATGTTTGTTTCTCTGGCCATAATTAAGACAGATGAGCACTTTTCTTTTGCCAATTTAAAGCTTTTGAGTTTGGCTTTCATTTGTGGCATATCAAAATTTTGGTTTTGACCCTTGCTCTTAATTAATGAAGAAAACCATAACACCAGAATTTTGCAAGTTTCTCCCACGACACTTTGTGATAGAGTCAATACATTTTGGAAAGTATCATGTTGGAACATGAAAGAGAAGAGAATGTATGATTCTTTTCTGTCAGCAGTCTGATGCCACAATGAATAGTTTGCCATGCTGAGTCATGTTGTGACCTATACAGACATGCTGCAGGACAAAAGGACTCATCCAGCCTTCAGATATCTGCTTCCAATCACATTAAGTTGTACTTCCTTGTCTGTCAACTTATGTAGTGGTTTTATCAAATGTAAAATTTGGTTTTTATTTTTATCTAGTTTAAAATGGTTGTATGTGTTGGAAGTATCAAAGAACAGTGTGTTTTAAAGCAGTTATAATCCATTGCATGTCAGTCGCTGCGCAAGTTCCAAGAAAAACAGAGACCTGTGTAGGACTGGATGGCAAAAGTGGTTCCTAGTGTTTAGAAAGGACAAAAATCTATGATAAATATAGCAAAACTTTAGCAGATTTGCCAGAAAGCTTTGGAAATGAAGCAGTTATCTCTTCAGGCTTAGAATATGATGTAAACAAATAGGAATATTTTGAGACTTTCAAAATTTAGTCATGAGAAATGTTGCCAATTTTCCATAAACAGCACAACTGAAGTAAAAATGTAAAAAAGTGAACCTGTCCCACTATATGCCATGTCAGTGCTTTGGGGGATAGAGATGGTATAGCTCCTACTAATTCTTGATCTTGGCAATAGATGGGGATGAGTGGTCATTATCATATAATAGAAACAGGAAAAAATAGATGGGGATGAGTGGCCATTATCATATAATAGAAACAGGAAAAATTGTCTTAGTCCTATCATAAGGAAGATTTCACTATGAACACTAAATGACACTTCTTTGGAATGTCACATGGCAAAGGAGCATGTGATGGGATTGGGGAACAATTGAAAGACTAGCAATACCCTTATCAGGAGCAGATCATGGCAAGAAGACAATTTTATAAGTGGTTGGGCAGTTGTAAAGATTCCCTCAGTTACTTTTGAGTATTGTCATGTTAATGACCTTGGCAAAGAAACTGATGCTCAGGAAAACTCATATATTTCTAGGTACTCAACACATACAGCATTATTCCTGCCTAAAAATAAATCATATTTATACAAAAGTGTTTTCAGAAGAAAATGTGTTCGTCATCACTGCCCTAACATTGAAGTGGCTTCTGAAGGAATAAGTTTATGTAAAAATAACGTGGAGGTTTACTTTTAATATGCTAGGTGAAGTCATTGTGCAGCTAAGTTCTGAAAGAGAATTGAACAGAATTTATGTTCATTCCATACATGTTTTACCCATAACGATATCAATACATAGTAAATTCGATGCTACACTCGATATTCAGGATCGTTTTTAATATCGGCTATTTCAAATGTGTTCAAAGTAGGCGGTATGCTGTCCGATCATGTCGCTTGCTGGGTAAGTGTAACAACCGATCAATTATTATGACCAGGTTAACCAAGTGATAAGTGATGGCCTAGAGTAAGCTTGTACGTTTTAATACCGGTTTTGTTTCACGGCTTCTGTTTCTCAAACGTTTTCGTAGATGTATGGCAATTATTCGCGTATAGGCCAGTTTTCTTGAAACTGCATTTGGCGGTGAGAATATTCAACCGTTACCTACACTGCCAGACCCACAGGAAATATCGAAGCAACGTTTGAGGTGAACTGTGTATTGTATTATCTTGGAATGCATTGTTTGGTCGGAACGTTTTTTGGTTTGATGTGAGGAACTGTGAGTATAAACAATTTTTTATCAAATGTTGTGAGCGGTGTGTATATATAATTTCAGTTACATAAATTGATAGAATCCACTTCTCACAATTCGTGGTCATTCATTCATCTTACAATAACAGCGGATGTTATAGAATGTTCAGTTTATTGCTGTGATAGCCTATCAACGTTTTAACAAAAGCCTGTTTTATTCAGTCCAATTAAGGTGCGGATGAAACTTCGGAATTCTTGTTGTTCATAAATTGCTTCATGTGTAATACACACTCTTTACATACTGTTCGAAATATAGTAGGATGCTGTCTTTGAGTTCTTTTAAACATCTTTCATTATATGGCAGTTATTTTCATAGATTATTGTGTCACATACTGGTTATGTCATGCATCTCTCCTTTATTCGCACATTGTTAGGATTATAATTCCTCTGTCGTTGTTGGTCACACACTCTTTAAGACCACCTGTGGACTAACATCCCCATTTAACTTTGAATTTCTCAAATTGTGCACTGAGTCTGCTGGAGTACCGAAATTATCCTTTAGAAATATGGATGTCCACATATGTTGAAGGAGGTTAATATTGAGTTCCTGAAGTGTGGATTTCTTACTCTGAATGCAGATATCTCGTGTATTTTCTTTGTTGCCACTGCATTAGAATTTCATTATTTTTTTGTACTGTATGATCTCTTGTATTTTATGTAATTCTGGTTCTTTGTTGTATTCACAGAAGTCTTTGAATATAATGTAATAAGGTATTCGGTAGACACCAAGGTGATATATTGATAGATTTTGGATATGATGGTTGAGTCCTTAAACTTTCTCTCATGAATGCAGAACATTATTTACAAATGTCTGAAAACCTAATTCTCAGGAAAGTGCTTGAGTTAAAGACGGAGTGTAATAAACTGGCATTACAAAATGAAGTTGTGTATTATAGGACTAAGATATTTAAATGTGGTGACTGACTAGGGGCCGGATGGCAGGGCTTTAATTTGTCACTACTAGATATCACATCGAGACCTGCTGTGGAGCCCTAACCAGCCTCCTGAGTGGTGAGTAGTGGGAGTTCTGTATGTGGGGAAAAGCAATTTGGCTATGGAGCTGCAAAACTGGTGCTGCATTTCAGACTATTGAACTGTTCTGCCAAGACTCTATGGAGGCAAATTGTTTTATCCTGCCTTATGTTGTTTGGGTCCTCCCAAAGGTATCACCATCTTGTTGAAGGCAAATAAATTTTGCCAGGTGAGGACACTTGCGTACTCAAATGACATGTAGGGATAGGCCGGCGGGATCTTCATCTCCTGTTAGGGTCATCCAAGCCAGACAGATCTAAGGTGATGTGCTAGACTAAGAGTGATACCCTGGTCTTCCAGGTTGGGGGTTGGGTGTGGGACTAACAACCCCACCCCAGAAAACAATTATTATGAAACCCTAGAGAGGCCAAAGCCCACCCCAGGCTGTAGCACCAAGGAAGAAGAAGAAGAATGTTGTTAAGGTACTGAAATCAAGGAGGTTGTAATGAATTGAACTTGTTTATTGGGAAAGGTAAGAAATGCATGTAGAATTTGGGCGGGGAACATGTTGGGAAGTGTCCACTTCGATGACTGAGAAAGAAATGGGAGGTTGACATAAAGAGGGTTTTAAGCAAGTATGTCGTCAGCGTGGAGAACGGATGGCTCTGTCTTAGGTCTGTGTCCAGTCGCAGTTTTAGGTATTACCAATCTTGGTATTTCAAATTCTGTTTTCGGTGATTTAAGTTGGCTACCAACAAGTTTAACATTTTCACAAAAGACTCGGACACACATTTTTTTTGTGCGCCGAGTAAAAATTTGTGTCTGAATCAGTACGAGCGGATGCGTGCTTCGAAGGCAAATCACGCTGTCACTTGGGTATGAAAAAAGTCAAGAATTCTTTTGCTACAGGCCGAGTATTATGGCAGTATTGCCAGGAAGTAAGCTCTTTATCATGCTACCTTTCACGTCAACTCGTGGCAGAAATTGCTTTAAGTAAAGAGAGTGAATTTGCATATATTAGAGGTAATTACAAGATTTCTTAGAGCATTTATGAATACTGAGTGCAGTTTTTCTTCCACATTCACTCTTCTGTTAATGATCTGTGGAGTGCAAGGTTATAAGTTAATACCATGACAATTTATTAAAAAGTCTGTCTTCAGTTTACTCATTACTTTTCTGTAACAGAGTTTAAGTCATTAGTGAGGTACTTGGAATTTCTCTCGCGTTCTTCTGTCGGGAAAACAAAATGTTACAGAAAATGCCCACGGGCCGTACAGAGCACGCTGGTGAGCCGTGAGTTGAGAGCCCTAATCTACGCCCCGCGAGGCTCGCCACTGGAGTAGTTTGAAGTAAATTTGTGTCATCAGCCACGGTTTCCCTTAACTTCTTAAGGCACAGTGATGGCTGTTCGTAGCGTGTGTTAAGAAATTGTGTAGTTCTGAGTGTTAACAGCATCGCGTCTTGAGTTTTTCCTGTGATTCTCAGAATAAACAGCGATTATTTTCCTTAATCAGCGCTTTGGTTCTGTGTTCGGCGACAGTTGCTCCGGTTGCTTGGAAACGGCTTATCTCCCCCTCGTCCCGCGTATATTGATTTTACCCCCGAAGGGTGCGTGGCCCCCCTGGCGGAAGAAGGTGTCTTAATCTTCGTTTTACAGTAAGCTGTCCTCTCGACTTGAATCTCGGCGTAGTCTTAAGTTCCATTTCGTCAGGCCACTTTGAACGAATGTGTGGAGCGACAAA